TACTTCCTAGAGGAAATTCAATCAGCTCACAAAGATAAATTTCTTACCGCTTTGCTCAGATACTAATTCTCTCCATGTTCTACCTTCTTAGACACTTTTATAACCCCCATCATTATTTTTATTTGTTACTGTATGTTGCAAAATTGGCCTTATTCCTTGGGCTAATTCACAGAGGCCGATTCCCCCAGCATGAGGGCAAACAGGAACTGAAAACAAAAAGGAACAATGCCTGTACTTAAGTTAAGAACATGGGGGAAATGACTGAATGATTAAGATCAATGATGTCTCCATTCTTTCATGTTATTTTAACAATGCTCCTGACAAACAGTCACAGCAACTGTTCCCAGCCAAGACAGAGAAAGACAGTGCCCAGTATGGAGCGATCAAGGGTGTTCTGGTGCTGCTCTATAGCACAACATGAAACAAAGGAAATTACAGCAGTGCATGCAAACTTATGCCCAGAAATTAAAAGCATGAAGAAGCTAATCAGGCTAGTGGAGGGGAGTGGGGAGAAAGACTTTCTCATTCCTGCAGCATTTTGCAGAGCCTTGCTCTGGAACTTTTTGGCCATCAGCAACACAGATGAGTTCTCATTCATGCTTCCTGGTCTGCAGCTGTCAATTTGGAGATAAGTCAGGGCCTTAGCTTGTAGGAGCTATCACTCTATTTTGGCACTGTAAGGAAAAATAAAAAGTTAAGACCTGAAGTCTCTAGAATTAACATACTACAAGAGCTGCTGGCAACTAACATCAAAACATTTGTACAGTGTCCCTCCTGTGTTTCTCGATAAATCCAAATTATTTTAATTACTCTATTTATATGAAATATCGCATGAGAATTTGCAGGAAGAGAAGTTCAAGGATGCTGCCAATATTAAAAGAATTAGCCTACACTTGTAAAGTTAAATTACTAAGAGGACTACATCTGATCTAAGTGTGGATGAGTGGAGGCACACTGAGAAAATCACTGTGGGCCTAACAGCCCCGTCTGTTTGGAGTGGGTTTAGAAATTACTGCCCCTTTACTGGATGTTGACCACATCCAGTGAAAAAGTGAAAGTGAAGGGAAAATACCGAGGGAAAATGGTTCTTCCAGTCTAGGTACAAAGTTAGTGGGCTCAACCTGAGCAAATATGGCTCATTTTTATAGTAGAACTGTTATGTAAAGCTGATGCGGCAGCTCTGTCTGGGAGCAGAGACTTCCTACAGCACTCAAAATTTCAGAGCGTTTTGCCTCACAATCTTTTTAGGGTTGAGGCTTCTTTAGGAGCCAACTCAACCCCTTCTAGTTACCTAACCAACTGCAGCAGCCTCCATGTCTGCAGAGAGGGACCTGGAGACCAATACAGCCAGCTGAGGGATGGCCTTGTAGTCAAGACGCTTGGATAAGTGTCAGGATTGCATTTCTAGCTGTGCTGCAGATTGTCTGCTTGATCTTAACTATGTTGTTCTGTTAGTTCAGGCCTCACATCAATTTCCCATGTCTGAAGTAAGGATAACACCACTCACCTTATTCACAGGGAAGTTCTGCAGATAAATGCATTAAATGTCTATCTGGTTCCTAGAGGTCATGGTGAAAAGAAGAAAAAGGTTTTACAAAACATGAAGTAAAGCCTGCATTCAGGAGTTGGCCTTTATGAAGCAGGGCTATTGTAATGGGTAGATTCAAACCTATCCTAATAGGTGTTCATTATACAACACCCCTCATTCCCAGATTGAGCGTACTATCTACTGGCAGACAACAGCTGAAAGCAAGAAGCGCGATGAAATACGTAGATAGCAGGGCTTGGCGTGAGAAACTGGCAGCAGAGAAACTATGCTAATGCAGTATTTCTCTCCAGTTGCTCCAGAGAACTGAGAGTTTGTTAATTCACTTTGCTTGGCTCTGTAGATATAGTGTCAAGACTTGGCAGGGAGAGGGGTGCAATAAAAAACAACTTACTTTAGCTTGTAGACTGGTATTCTAAAAGGTACCATTCTGTCTCTTGACACTCCGCTGTTGATGATGTATCCAGGAAGTAGTTTTGGAAATAGGTCTTTGGACTCATTAAAAGTATTTAAGGGAAAAGTATTTAAATACAGCTGATGGCAGTGACTTGCTACTAATGCTAGTAAGGAGTTTTGTTGGCAAAAAGGAAAAGTTACTTAAAACCTTATAAAATAGCTGTATATGCAACGTGCAAAAATGGAGCAGAACAGCTTCCTTCTGAGGAAATCCTGCAAGGGCCCTGCATGCACTAGTAGCTCTCCTCCAGGCCCACCTGGGTCACACGGTCCCCCATGGGCCTTCGGTCTCTGCCCGAGCTATGCCATAGGTGCAACCTGGCGTTGCAGTCATGCCTATGCCTGGCCATGGGCCTGTGGATGGCTTCTTGGCCTGACGTTGGCTGGCCTGATTACCGCAGAGCTGCCTGCTAATCACTGGTCTGTGCTTGATTGACCCCAGTTACCATCACTGGGCCTCATCCTGACCTTGACTCGCTGGCAGCTGCTCCCACCTTAACCTCGGACCTCTCTCTCCACCACAGAGGTGGTGGAGCCCTGCTCAGTGCCCTGTTCTGCTCTGGCTCTGGGTCCCCCACAGCAAGTAAACCTCTCCACGGCAAGTCCAGTCTGAGCACAGCTCTGTAAGATGTGAGAATGCACCTCACTGGAGGGCAAGCTGCTCTCGGGACCCCTGGGACACTAACAGGCCTTTCTGGCTGTGACCAGCCCACCCTGGCTGGGCCGGGAGCCCCACTTCAGCTCGGCCCAGGGCCTCTGGTCCCAGCTGGAGCTACGTCCCAGGCATGCCTGTCTCTAGTTGTGCTGCGGCTATGCCTGGCCATGGCCTTCCCTGCATTGATCCAGACCCTGACCAGTGCCCTAAGGCGGCACGCCCATGCCTGAGGGGTGGGCAGGCACGGCAGGTCAGGAGCCCGTGCGAGGCCACAGAGCCTGTCTCTCAAAGCTCTCCATGCTGCTAGGCCTTCCCTGAGCAAAGCCGGGCAGAGAAGCCAAATGGGGGGATGTGGCAGTTGGAAGAAAAATCTCAACTGCTGCAACTGTGTTGAGCAGTGAGCATGAGTCGAACCTACATATTGCGCTGGCCAGGTTAGATTTCTTGGGGGTCTTCAAGAGACTTAAGTCTGCCCAGGCAGCACCAGCTGAAGATGGGAGTCTGTAGTTTCTCCAGAAGCGCTGGATATTGAGGACGCTGTAGGACTGAGCCCCTAATAATAATTGAACTGAGGCCTAAACAGAAGGAGCCTGAAGTAGCTTCCTATTTCCAGTGTTTGAGTTATATATTTGTGAATATTTCTCAGAGAAATACTGTACAGAAGCCTGTCAGAAACAGGACTGCCGCTTGCTAACAGAAAGATCTTCAGAGATCGTAATCTCTACAGCTGTGTTTGTTAGTGTAGCGCAAATAGGGTTGGTATAGAAATAGGACCCAGGAACCTCTTTATTCTAAAAACACTCCTTCAAGTAGTTGCAGGGGGGTTAATATCTATGCATGCAAGGCAGTACTGAGCAAAACGCTCGTATCGACTCCAGGGCCACAGAGTGAGTAGGGAGCTGTGCTAATTACCCTAGGGCTAAAGGGGATATCGTGCTTCAGGAACCCTGCAGCTCTGTACAGACCATATTGTCCCGACCACCTTGTTCTGCACAGACCTTCCAGATGACTCTTAAGTTATTTCATGTAGCCGCAGTGTGCTCCACCGAGCAGCATGGACTTACTCTCTATGTCTTGCTTCTGTAGCTGCTACACGGGCAATCCTGACCACAGATGCATTTGGTTCATATTGCTCTCTGCTCGGAGAATACAAAATGTTAGCAGTTACTCTCCTAATAAAAATAATTTTAAAAACAGCAGTTATTTCCAGGTGGTTCACAGAAATTGTGTGTGGGAAGAAAAGAATCAGGGAGAGAAGGTGAAGGCAGGCACCCTTGCTAGGGAGCAGCTGAAACAGATATCAAGTAATTTTCATTTATAGTATTTAACTCCCTAGTGGGAAATGCAGGATAGTTTTGGCACAGGCTCCCAAAGGTTATGAAGTAGTCATATTAAATAAACAGTAATTAGGAAAAAGCCAAAAACACTTCAACACATACTCATATGTTCTCCTGTTGCCTCACCAATTCCTACCTGCAGTGCTAAGGCCTGGAAGGAAATAGCAAACATTCAAGACTCACTTCTGATTTTTGATTGCCAATAGAGTTAGTAACATAAAGGATGGAATAACAGTTGATTCAGCATAACGTTTGTTACTCATTCTATAGAAAATGTTACACATGCTATAAAAATTTTTATTGATATTTTTCTGCTTTTTCTGCTACATAAACATGTAAAGAATTACAAGGTGTGCGGAGCAGCAAAGAAATGCAGATATTGTACATGTGGGGCTTTAACAGTGCTGCTAAGTACATCATGTTGTGCATGCAATCTCTGCACCAATGTACTTCCAACTTCACTGAAATATTAAAGCATGCATTTTAGAACAAGTCCCTGCACATTTTAAACTAAATATTGGCAGCCTTCTTCGGGCAGGCATGACAGTCCTTTTACATATTTTTTAGGAATAAACTATCCCTTGCAACTTAGGGAATGTGTGTCAAGGTTCTGTAACAAATGTATTTAATGAGAGTCTGAGTAACTAGTTCAACTGAACTCTGAGTATGTCAAGGAGCAGTATAGACAATATATTACAGTTTTCTAGACTGGAGTTACTGCATCATTATTGACATTAAAAAAAAAAAAACAAGCCCTCCAACCTTTGCAATGGTTGTCTTTCCCAAAATATCATCTGGAGGAGTTGGCTCCTCAATCCATAAGGGTTTAAATTCAGCTAGTTCAGTGACCAACTCTACCGCTTCCTTTATTTCCCATCGTTGGTTTGCATCCACCATCTGGGAGTAAGGAAAATAAAGATCAAATGCACCTCATTCTATTGACTTTTTCTGTCAGACTCAAATAAAAGGAGCTGAAAAATTGACATGAACTGATGAAAATCCAGGAAATTGAAAGGAAATTGCACACATTCTGTCTGAATCGTATGCTTTTGGCCATGCTTATGCTAGAAGCTTGCAATGGCTATAGCAATACCCAAGCTAGGTTTCAGCAAGATAGATAGGAGCTGTAGCAAGGGCAGAAGGGTCTTCCGAGGGAATCAAAAGATCTTATCGACATATGCTGGAGTAAAACGCCCTAAACATGGACATGGCTGTCTGAAATTTTCAGCAGAAAATCTTTTTGACAGAAAATATAGTAATTTAAGTAAGACATGTTTCACAAGCAGCAGTTCACTCCAACAGAAGGACAATTCCCATCTCCTCCCAACCCTTCAAAAACGGAACATCTGAAAATTATTAATTTTGATCTGGAAATGACACCATGGTTCCTTTTCCGGTTCTTAGGTCCCTTCCGTCCTGTGTTCGCAGAGTTCCTGATTAGGCATTTCACGATGTATGGCACCCATGAAAGTCCCAGAGCAGAGGGCCAACTGTGATGCGTAGTGGAAAACATGGGGCAAAGAATCCACCGTATATCAGTTAATGAAGTCCAGCAGTCATCCCCAAATCTAAATGTATTACTTGCATCTAATTATTTCTTTTCATTCACATGACTTTAGTTTGAAATTTTTGTTTTCCAGTTTACCTTTGGCCAAACACAGAACAAAAATATCGACAAGCTTTCCTCTGGAAGCCTTCCTGGATATAAAAGACACTCTAAATCTTGTAGAAGGCAATGCTGCAAGAGGGGTTCCCCTCCAGACTTGAATGGAAATTCTGGCTCATGAAATAGAGGATGAAATTCTTAGTCATAGGTATACTTGGTCATATATATTGCTCTTTGCTGGTGTACATCAACATTTGTTGGCATCATTATTCAGGATTTCAGGAAGGAAAAGAACTCTTTGTCAATAAATTTACGTAATGGGGGATCTTTCATCTCAGAGTTTTAAATATACAGTGACTTGATATAGTAGCAGAAAGTGATATTCATCACTATTTTGTCAGGGCCAATCATTTTTCGTATAAATTTGCATCTATGAATATCATCCTGTAGATCTGCACCTACCTTTACTTTGAACCTAGATGCACATTTGGAACAAGATATAGATCACTTCTGAATGATTAATGCATCAGTAGATAGGAATACATAAACTAGATTTTACAATTTCAGCATCACTGTCTTATAGCAAGAATATGTTTTATTACTTCTCTTCCCTTACAAGCAGGCTTCATCCTACTCTGAAAATCAAACAGCAAATGTTTTTTTCGTAAATCAATGGAAACATGGTTATTTTCATCTGGCATCAGCCCTCCATCAGCTTTGCCATACCGTTACTCTTTTCCTGCAATGCAGTATTATGCCACAGTAGAAGGAAGGAACGTGACCAAGAGTTATACAGAAGTAAAGACATGACTGCCCATATCATAGACATGAAAGAGTTAGCCAAGAACTAGTCTATCTCTTCATCAAAGCATAAAACGCAGAAGAGTAACATTCAAGACAAGTATTTACTGTACCTTGTCTAGTCCTCTTTCAAAGCCTCTGGGCTTAACTGCAAGTAAAGTTACATCTACAATAAATCTCCAAATAACTCTACTGCAATGCATCTACATAATATTAATATACACATTTTCAAAATCAGAATAAACTTTCAGTTTCTTCCTAGGAGGTAGCAGAAACTCAAGGAAAACACGATCAGACATATGAATAACATCCAGCTGAAAAAAGGGACTGAAACTGCTCAACCTGGCTAAACTGTAACATATGATAACTTTTGCTAATCCAACTATGAACATCCCATGACTCAGCAATGCTATTTCTAGATTCGCCAAGGGATACATTTCCTGGAAGATAAACCCCGGTTGCATTAGCTAAATCTGACACCCCTAAACTGTCAAAAGCTTTCACAGTTTTTCACAAAAAAACCCCAAGTCCATTGCACAGGCAATTGTCTCTGGCAGGAACGATGCTGCCAGAAACGAAGGAAACTGAGGGCACGTCTCGTGCCATTGACAGTTGCGAAATATCCCTCAAAGCTGAGGCAACCATGTATTCCAGAAGAAACCAACAACTGTCAAACTTCTGAGATTCATGTTACCTGCAAAGAAGACATCCTCATTCCTCAGAGATGGAGTTACTGCAGGTTACAGGCATTGGGCTTCTGAACATAGCCATTGAGGCACAGATGTAATGTGTTTTCATTGATGCTCTTGAGGATCACGCTTTTGCTCATTTCATATCACTTTGCTGAGTATTGCTATGTGCATAAGCTCCTTGCTTAAACTGACACAGCTACACCCATGCAAGCTCCTTGCTGGACACAACACAACCCACACACATTACTTCCATGACTGCATTAGTACCTTGTGCTCAATACTCATATACGTTGGGTATACCTACCCTTGATGATAGACAAGACTTTGCCTTAGACAAGGCACTCTGCCTTACTGGCAGAATTATAGCACTGGGCCTGCTTTGAACTCCCAAGGTATATCTGCAATGTTACGTTTTTACTCAGTCCAGCAAAACTTTTAAGTGTTTAGAAGCAAGCACTGAGCATTGATCGTTGTCCATTAACTTTTCCCCATTGCACAAATCACTTACAGTCTTGCTATTTGAGAGACCAAACATTCAAACCTGTTTTAACAGTTGTTCTGAGTAGCACAGCCAGGCAGGGGATGGTGTATAAGCAGGATAAAAACGCTTTAACATTTGCTCTTCTGAAACATGAAGATTGTCTCAAGCCAGTTTGCTTTTTAGTCAGCAAAGATTATTTTGTTCAATGGTCTGTCAAAGACTGTTCTTTGTGGAAACTGAAGGAGTGGAGGTGTTCCTTAGCAGCCATAATTTTAATCAAGGAGATCAGTTTTGCTGAATAAACCCCTCTCTCTTCTCCCTAGCTATTTTAAAGAAAGAGAATTGCAACTCAGAAAAATCCTTGGAAGAAAACAGCACAATCTCCTTGCTAGCCAGCCACAGTTATATGGCAAAAAGCAACCAATGTAGCATAAAACAAATGCCCAACTTTGCAATGCTGGAGATGGATGAGAAGATGCTGGCAGACAACATGCTTCATCGCACACAGTCCCTTTCCCATTCTCTAAGACATACAGAGTAATGATTTTAATCAGGTGTAGATTAGTTTAAGCTCACCCCTTTCCTTGTTCCCAAGCAGGCCATTTTGGAGTAGGGGGACAAGCATAAATATGAAATTACAGTGAAGAACAATTTCTCCTCATGCACCAGATTTCATCATTATGGTTGCACCTCCAATCTGTCTTAGTCCCGCAGACTGGTGGTGTATTCCTGAGTTACTGCCAAAACTGATGCGGCCGTTCAAGGATTAGGAAGGAGGAGAATCCAGCTTTGAGGGAAAGAAGATTTACATAAGCTGCTTTTTCTGTTAGCGCGTCAGTAATATATTTGAATTCTATGCAGGATAATAATTGCTTGGGCTCCTGATTCAAGAACAAGCCATAAAATAAAAAGCATGGCATAATGAAACAGTATGATGACAAAAGATTAAGTAATGCTAGCTGCATGAGGCTTGGCTATCAATATTTTCCCCATTTCTCTTAAGTGAGTAGGGAACTGAGACACAGAAAATATTCTAGGCCCTCCCCACCAACAACCTAACCTGAGCCTACCTTGCACTGGCAAAGATGTAAGCATGTGCCTAAGTTTATGGCTATAAGTAGTAGGTAATAAGCCCTTTTCAGCTTTCTTTTAAATTCTATCCAAGCAGGAGCAAAAATTAAATGGGAAAGCGGCATCTCACATTCCAGCCATCTAATCAACGCAGAGGTGCATCCCTGTGCTCACACCTCCTGCTCCCAGAAAAAAAATAGGTTCTTTTAGAGCATCTTAAAATTAAATAGAGTTCCCTCAGAGTTTAGACACAAGCTAAAACCTGTTCACTTTTCATACGGTCAGAAACAAGAGTGACAAATTACCTTTCCTTAGGAAATATAACAAGATTTCCTTACCATGTCAACTAGTATCTTCCACAGAGTCTGGAAAACAAAATGAATTCAATAATTAGAACTAGATGGATGCTATGAAGGAGGTAGCACGCACATGGTTTTTGCTTCTTGATAAAGTGTCAGAATGTGCAAACGTGTTTCCATTTGACACTCAGAATTAATTACTGACCCTGAAGTAATGTGGTTCTCAACTCCAAGCCAGAACATTCAACAATTTCCCATTAAAATAATTAAGACTGGAGTATTCCTCTTACCTTGCTTTCATTATGGATGCAGTATTGGTGGGGTAATTCTTACACTAAAAAGAAAAGAGTGAGCCTCATACTAGCTATCTGAAATGCTGGTCTACCCCCCTTGCTGGAACTTATCACTATACAGTATATCCTTTCTATGTTTAAGATATCTGTGGTGTGAATTTTTTGATGATGCGCTATTTGGGACGGTACTATGCTCTCGGATTTTGGCAAGCTGAAGGTTGCTGGTTACTTTTCCATGGAAGGATACCTGAAGGATCAATCCAAAGGAGCAGAAGTGAGACGGTGGAGGCTGGTGGACCTGAGCTAGTGGGACACAAGCCGGCTCTCACCTGCAAGCTGTGCGGTCAGGATAGTGTGGTGGGATGTCCCGAGGTGCATGGTGTATGAGAGTGCTCAGTGGCAACTCCACTGCTGGCTACAGCTTTTTGCTGCTTCTGTCCAATTAAATCAGAAGGTCTGCAGAGATCAAGCATATCTAACTGTGCCCATCAAGGTATGGACACAGCAACTTCTTCCATGTGTCTGTTGACTGTGCAAATGGAGAGGGCCTCGACAGCATAAACAATTGCAAAGCATAGCAAAATTTACTGCCTCATTACAGCAAAATGTCTCTAACACAACTACTGTGGGCCCTTCCTTCGGCTGATGTTTAGGGAAGCAACCTTTTCTGACAGTCCATGAATTGTATCACTATGGAACCACTCACTCTGCATCCAGATCTGGGTGGCCACTGTCTAGTTGTACGGTCATGTTTCATCTCTTATTTGTCTGTTGCCAAATGCTGATCCATTCCTCCAAAAATTTAATAGGTATAAAAGGCTTTCCAGATGAAGAGTTGCTATTGTTTTACCTCTTGCTTCAGAGGGAAACAAAATAAAACACCCCCCCCAACTGTAAGCTCTAGACCAATAGCCCAGAACTATGTTAGAGGCAGAGGCTGTCAGATCACATGTCCTCTTAGGCAGACAGCGTTTCTTTAAATGGGAGACCCTTTATGTACCCTTCAAGCAAGTGCTGCATCTCCCAGAGTGGTTTTGGTATTTCCAGTCGTGTTCAAATTCTCATTCCCTAATAAAGGACTTTGTTTCTGAGAATAATAGAAAGGCAGGTGTAGTCACGCTCTTTTCTGTCCCCAAGATTAGGGGCAGAAGCAGAATTCTGTTTTTTCCAGTGCCACATACCACTGTTCATTTCATCATAAATTCCATAGAGCGCCACAGAATACACCACGTGCAGATCAGGAAAGCACCTCCTTACACGGACCCTTGTCTCGCAAGCTGCAGAGGGTCAGAGAAAGGACAGACACAGTAGAAAGTCACGTGCCAACCATCATTTTCTTCAGCAGCATGGAACAAAGAGAACAATCTGCAAGATCTGTAAGAAAGAGAAATGTGGGAGAAATTTGAACAGGAGACAAAATCCAATTCTCTGTGGTCTCCCCTGTTTAGGGTCTTTGCTTGTGATCTGAGAAACAAGCGTCTGAACCTCAGTTTCATAAACACCTTTTTGTTTGCTTCCGGGCAAGGCACTTTACTTGCCTGTGTCTCTGTTCTTTGCTGTTCCTCTCTGCACCATGGGGACAACTTCCCATCTCACCTCCCTTGGATGCGATGAATCACATGCAACAGTCACTGAGGTCATTTAGGTAACTCAGGCAGGTTGTATTGAGCACATTCCCCCTCATGAAGACTGAAGGGTGTTCAGCATCTTATATTACCAGGTTTGAAGCTGCAGATAACAGACCAGGTGATACACAGGCTCAGATCCTAGCCTACCTAAGATAATGGTGAATCCTTAAAGAAACTTAAAATAACTGCTTGCCAAATTGCTTAGTGAAATTAAAAAAAAAAAAATCAGGTGTTTCTATGAGAAACAATTTCAGAGGTGGATCAAGGGAGGAAAAGGCATGATATCATCAGGTCACAGGTTTTGCAGGTGTTCAACTGATTGTTTTTAACACTGTTTGTTAGTAGTGTCAATGAAATACTAGACTTGAGCGGCAAAAAAGGAATTGCTATGGTCTAGGGCACCTACTAGCTGAACGGGCTCTTAGAAATCCCTTCTAAAACACTGCTGCATACCATATTTTGTATGGGAAAAAAATCATGCAACTCAACTCCTCCTCATAGTATAAATCTGAGAGTAAATTGTAGACCTGTGTGCTAATCACAGGGTGGCAGAGAAGGGACAGGACTGGAGAACCCAGGCTACTAAATTGAAGTTAATGACCACTTTTGCATGCAGATAAGAGGTTGATTCTTCAGTTACCCCATCCAAGAGGCAAGGAGCACAGTCCTTAATGCCTATTCAGAAACCAGAGCTGGTGGAATAAGTGACTGTGCAGAAGAGTTTTGTATAAACAAGACAGATGCTTACATAAACAAAAACAGATCAAGTATTTAGAAAACCCATGTGCTTCCCTCTGATCACAGGTAAAAAAAAAAAAAGAAGAAGAAGAAGAAGTTCAATAATCTTATGTATTTATTCCTTAGGGCGCTATTGATCTGGGAGACTGGGTCTGATGGTGGGCAGAGGACCAAATTTCCCAGTTCACACTCTGGCCACCCTTGTGGCAAATGATGAGCCTGAACTAACTTTCTCTACAGCCAGTGTGCTCTACCCTTATACAGAAAATGTTACAATTACCAAGCAGGACAAGGGAAGATAAATCTGGTATTAGAAAGCAGCAAAGACTACTACAGAGAGACTAGATCTCTTGCTGCTAAGCGTTGCAAGCAGCGTGCTATCTCAGCTGCATCCTGTCGTAACAAATGGCGTTACCTAATAAAAACAGACGTAAAACCTGTGCATAAGGTTAACAGACATAAAAAGCCGTGCAATTAGGGAACACAAATTTTTGTACAATATTCCTTGCACCGTGTTGCCCAAGCGCTCTGATTGTTCCAGCTGAGCGCTTTGGGCCAGCTCCAGAGTGTTCCTTCGTTATGTGCTTGACTCGGATCTTGCAAACTGGTCACCTGTCTGCAAGGCAGGGGAAAGGAGCACTTAATTCCAAGTTTGCTTGGAAGGAAACCCATGTTCAACATATGAATAAACACATAGCAAAAAGCAGGGTCACAGACACACCTCAGGTAAGTGATTTACTGGTGCCTGAGGATAGGGGGAGGTGTGTGCAGGGGAACAGCTTAAACTTCAACTTCTGATGCCAGGCCACCTAGGTTGCTCCGAGACCTGAAACTCCTTTACACATGGCTCTGCACTGAATTTGCTAGATGCAGGAGCAGTATCAGGTGTGAAATCAGAGATTCCTCCTTCAATTTGGGCAAGGTAACAACTTACTAACTTCCATGCCCCAGGATGAACATCAGCCTGTAGCTTTTGAGCCCAGCAGCGGTCTCCACCTCCACGTAGGCTGTGGAGTAGTCGGGGTGCACGTGCTGCGTGGGCTGTTGCAACACCACTGTTAGTGCCAGGCCAGGCTGGTGTGGGCCCTATTACCCTCTTGCCCCCACCGGCGCTTGGGAAGGGTGATGCCAGCGCACTGGGCTCCAGTGTTGGGTGATGTACCCAGCTACCAACAGCACTGCCGTAAGCCACCCCACCAGCCGCAAGCTGTGATACCTCAGGACCCGCTTAGCGGCGGGGACAAGAGCCCTCTGCAGGTCCCTTCCTACCTGAATGATCCTGTGATCTGGTGATGTCTTGGTAAAATCAAATACTCCTTCAATGATGTGATCTTACAGCATGAAGAGTGTGCTGAAGGCATGAGGCTCCTGTGGTGCAAGGCCACTTGCTCACCTTTGTGTCAGCTCAGGCCCCAGGGACTTGCACAGGCATCAGAGAGGCTGCATATGAGCTTCTCGGGGCATTGCAGACATCGCAGACCTCAACTCTGGAGGCAAGGGGCGCTGTGGCCCAGGATCACTGTGACTCTGGAATTGATGCCAGCAGGACAGCCAAAGTTTGCCATGCATAGGTTATCTAGGTAGTGGGTTAGCTGAGCCCCAGAAGTACCTGAATCAGCCTCATGCAAGGGGCTGGCAGGGTCTCCCAGCTTGAGCTCCATGCTGTCCGCAAATAATGATTATACACTAGCTTTGTGGAGGCACCTGGAGTAGTTGCACTGGGTCCACAGGTTTATTCAGGTAGCCACTGCGGTGGATAGTGTGAAATTACAGCAAGCATGTTTTAGGAAGTGACCTCTGCAACTTCAAGACAAGGAGTCCAAGCTGTCAGCTGTTAAAAACTACCCATCAGAAGCTAATTGTTAGCAGACCAAGCCCTAGCTTCTGTCTCCTGCACTGTTGCTATCTCCAACTTCATTCTGTTCTCCCCTTGCCTTGATTTCCCATCTGAAGATTATCAAACTGACCTCATTTGTGAAGCATTTGAGAATGAGGAGTGCTATACGCTAGGTAAGAATGATCGTTAAGCAAGACGGCAGATGCTTTTGGGGGAAGCCCCAAAAGAGAGTAGTTGCGTAGCCGTAGATTTCTGTCCGTTGCCTGGCAGAAGAGTAAACTGGCTGTCTTGGGGTGGACAAAGGAGGGTTGTGCTATGTTGTTGATAATCTAACAGCATTTTCCCAGACCAGGCTGACCTACCAAAGTGGACATATTTCTCACTACCTTCCTGAATGCCGTTTGTAATCCACAAGCTGCAGAGATGGTCATTCCTTGTTACTCATCTTAATGATCAATTGAACTCAAGGGGCATATCTGTTGCTAAGTACACACACATTCGCTCTTCAAAACCCTTAGTAGCTACCAGAAAAGGCCGAGGCCATTCTGATGACAGTGGCGCCAGAGATTATGTTTAGCTTTTTAGTAATCTACTTATTATAACCTTAAATCCAGTGAAGCTATTGATTGAACTTTGGTTTCATATGAAAAAAAAAAAAAAACCTCTCCTTACAAGCGGCTGTCCTTTGACAACTCTATCAGGAAGATTAAATGTACAGATTTTGACGCGGTGCTACAGGGAACGCTCGCTCTTATACAACTGTCCAGAATGTCTAATCACTTCCAGGTTGGGCATTTCCCTATGAAGATCGCCAGAAAGCCAGCACAGAATCCCCACAGGCTTTTCAGTAATTTTCCATAAACATCCCCTTTTAAGTAAGTCCAAGGCCTTAACAAATGGCACTAAATTAAAATGTAAATACTGAAACTATCTCTATTGTACTTGCAGTCCTTTAATACAAAGGCAAGAGTATAAATTTATGCTATTCGTAAACCAATATGAAAAAGACAGTCATTCCAGAAGTGAAGAGGGTGCCTCAGTGAAAGTGATATGGATCTGACCTTGCCCTATTTAGGGCTTCTCAATTTGGCAGGCACCTCCTGTTAAAACAAAAAAAGAAAAAAAAGAAAAGAAAAAGTGATGGTACATGAAGCTGCTAAATGCTGCTAATCTTTAATTCTGTGAAGTTTCATACACGTTCATGCTATTAATACACAGCCACATGATGGAGAAATAAAAGCCAGTCGATTGTAGTGAATGATAAACACCTTGCCTAGAAGGGCAGAGGAAGGTGGGGTGGGGAGTAAGGGATGTAAGTCCTTTACGAGCCAGTTTCCATTCTTGCCTTTTCTTGGGAGCTCTTCAAAATCAGAATCCCTTTGGATACAATTCACAGGCTCAGCCTCCTTGCCAGGATTGAGCAGGGGCTGCAATGTAGTGCTATCATTCATTTTCTGACCACACACCTTCAGCGACTCCTCCTGGTATATTCTACAGTCTGTGGAGGAGGAGGGAGCCATCCTCACCGTTCTCATGTTGAAATAGTCAAATTATTAGATGTTTTCCTTATTCATGGTATTTTTTTTCATAAGAGTCAGATTCGAACTGAGACTTATTCTTTCCTCTTTTGCAAGAGTAAAAGTGCTTGCTTAGCCAGAAAATATAACTAGCTCTTCCAGACATTAAAGTAGAGGGAAGGGTCATCAGCCACTGAGCTCCCGGAAGACTGCCCCAAATATAAGTAAATGTTGGGTATTGAATGAATAGCAGATGCAGCAGCTGGCACCAGCTGAGGTCCAGGAAAAAAGCCTAATCGTTAGCATGCAAAGGATAGATTTTCAGGATCAAATGTAAGATGCACCCATCCATCCATGTCATAGTATATACTTATCAGTAGCCTCAGCTAGAGACTTAATAACCTAGCAGCAGGACACAAAGAAGAGAGGTCGAACGCTCCTACTGCGAGTAGCTTTTTGATAGAAAAAGGAATGCTTTCACAGCAGTTAACTTCAATGTTGGTACGTGACTGATTCATCAGCAACCTTGTATTCAGGTTTCTCTTTTAAATTTTCAGCCTGTTCCCCAGGCCCTGCTAAGATTAACTAGTTAACTGTCCTTTCTCCTTTAAGAAGAACAAATCAAAAGCAGCAAAAGGGCCAGCATATGTTTCTACTCATTTAAAGTTAGTGACATACACAGAGGAGATGGACAACGTTCTGTAAAAATACATAGTGCTATAAATACTTGGATCCCCCCAACAACAGTGGTTATTACAATTTAACAAAAAATGTAACTTTAAATTAAAAAAAGAATGCTAAAAATGAATAACTAAAGTGCTATATGCCAAAAGCAAGTGTTTGCATGCAGAGCTAACAAGAAAAGTAAGCTCAGAGACTAGGCCCAGTGGAGAACACGGGTCCCACGGGGGATGCCTGAACTCTGGGTGGGTTCCTAGGCGTTCTGTCCGCACGTGGAGAGGAGGGAAACATAATCCCAAATCCTACATCCACATAACGCCACTAGGGGAGAAACACTAAGCTCCTTGCCAGAGTGTCTGCAACACCATCACTCTGGGGCTAAACGGCAGAAGCAAACAACCCTGTCAGCATGGTCTCCAGGAGCCAGTATCTCTCTGGTTGGGCCCTCTGCATCGGTTTTTCAAAGAACTGATCAAGGTTCACTCTTTCAGAGGGCAGAGGAATGCTGCTCTTCTTTCATATTGGGTCTCCCCAGCTAATACACAGGGGCTCAGCTAGGAACTGGTCAGGGTGAGCCGAGCAGATACAGAACCACCACAGAGAACGGAAGCATTTCTCTCTAGCCGTGCTTCATTTCCACTGACCCATGCTTGTGCACAAGGGAGCAGATGCTCCTCAGTTCCCTTGCATGCCTGTTTCTACCTCTTTCCCAGAATACGACAAAGAAAACAGATGATCCCTGCCATCTTTGCTTTACACCCCTCAACCTGCTTCTCTCTTTCCTGTGAGTGCTGAAAATAGCATCCCAGCTGCTCACCTCCATCCTTCGCTCTCTGTCTCCTTTTCCCTCCCCTATGCTAAGGGAGGAGCTACGATGCTGCTGATCTTTTTCCAGCTAACCTTCTCCTGGGTCGTGAGAAGACAGAAAGCAAGGAAAAAGGGAACCTTGCTCTAGAGCGAATGCTTATGCCTGCAGCTGTGAGTGAAGTCTTGCACTTCACACTTAAAACTCTTTCACACTTAACAAAATCACCTCTATAAGACGCAGCAGCAATCCAGGAGTCTAGATCACAGCTCAGGTTTTCCACTCTAGGCTGCTGTATCAAGCCTCCCGCCAGGCCTGGGAGGTTGATGAAGCTTGGTTCCTGCACGAGCATCAGATTGAAGCAGGAGCAAGATGCAGGACTGGGAGACACCTGAACCTCCAGGCATCTGCACAGTCTTAAGTTCCTACCACAAAAGACAGTAGGCAGGCAGGGAATGTATGAATCACAGTTTTAGGCTTTAGCAGTTATCTACTGTAATAGACCTGCTTTTGGTCCCCAAATCAGTTACTCAAATTTAGTCCTAAATTCCTCAGCAGGGTGTGAGAATTTGAGTCTGCTGTTTACAACACACTTAGTTACACCTAACATGACTATGTAGCTCTGCAGCAGTCTCACATGTTGGGGGAAAGTTGGTACAAACATCTACAGCATCTTCACAGAGAAGTTAAAAACAGAGAATTTTATTGGATTAAACAGATCAAAATAAATAACAAGAGTTTGGGGCTCATTATTAAATTTAGTTAAGTTTATGTTCATTCCACATTTGAGGTTTCTCAGTATGGTGTAGCTCATGTTTCAGAATTGCCAGTATCTTAGAAGAATGAGGGTAAGAACAATGCTCTGGCTTGTTTCTACCCAGCGTCAAGCTATGGGACACTTTTTTTTTTTTTTTTTTTAACATGATCTTTCCAAGGCTAATTTTCAGTGGAAAGAGCTAGTCACAAATGCAGTGAAATGCCAGAATTAAATGCTTGCAAGGTTAAGAATACATAAGATGCTTGTTGTAACACTTTACGCTAAAATAGGGATGTATTTTATCTAAACAGTAGGCTCATACACATTTTTATGTTTGCAAATTTACTCAAAAATCATATGAAAATATTTTTCAAATACTACAGCTTGAAACAATGCATGACAGAAACAATCTGCAGGCCTACCACAAGAAAATGGATATGACAAAGTTCTGGTGGACAACGGGGAGAGTACAGATTACCAGAAATATTACAGGATTGTTGTCATTAAAAATAGTAAAACAATTACATTACAGGACATACTAAAAATACAGTAAACTTTGCAGTCCATAGCTTCTGTAAGAACTCCTTTAGTGCTGTATTAGTTATTACTGAAACTCAGAAACAGCAGGTTGACAGTAATAGCTGCTTAATCTACAGTGGCACTGAATATACATTTCAGGATTTGGGATTTGAGTAGTACTGGTCATTGAGATAGGTAACATTCAACATAGTTGAGAAAAAACATCCGCTGTAACAAGAACAAATTTATAAAATTCCCTGAAAAATTGCACAGATACCAGCAGTGACTGCTAACGCCACATAAGAGGGAGGAAGTGTGTTTGCCTACAGTGAGGCAGCGATTGCCATCTGAGAATCGACTTTGGAATTTTTGTCCCAAGAATCCCCAGCCTGTCGACCTGTCCCTCTGGGGCTCAGTTTTGAGTCTAGACAGAATTGTTCTAGCCAGTTCCTGCCAAAGACTTCTGAACTGCTCTTGAAAAAGTCTCCCTTTTCACAGCTAGAGTTTATAACACACCATGAACTCGGCCTCTTTTATGGAAGTACATTAAAATAGTTTACAGAGGAAAAACATACACCTAAAATCTCATTAAGATAGCTGAAGCTTCAAAGTTAAATTTCCCCTTTCATTCCCCTCCCTTTCCCCTCCATATGAAGGCTACTCTGTTTTTGTTTCTTTCTTTTTTTTTTTTTTTTTAAATAAGCAGATACAATCAAGGAGAAATTTATTTTGAACCAATTCTGCAAAACAGTTCAACAATGCCATACTTTATAAAAATACTTAGTTACATAATTAAACTTATTATTATTTATATAAAAAAATGTGAATGTGAATTTTAAACTCTATTAGGGTAAGAACCACATCAAGGTCTTCAGGTGAAACACAAATAAATTTTCATAAACATACAATCTCTTTTGGAGAAGTTTTATAATACACAACCATTTACAATGAACATGTTCATTAAGTCAGTGTTTTATTCCTTTACTATACAAGTGTTATTACAATGAACTGTTCCACTCAGTAATTAAAATCCAAACAATGCCAGTGTCATTTTTTGGCATTCTTTGTTACAGCTGTATTAATACATAAATGCGTATGATTGTGTTATTCATTTTAAAATATTTAGAAAAATTAAAATTCCATTTTTTTGGCTTTTTTTTTTTTTTTTGTACATAAAGCCCTTTTAAAATTTGATAACCACAGATGTGATGAGGGATGATGAGGGAAAATGGAAAATGATGGCACTGTTGTTATAAAGATCCATTTGGTAGCTGGATTCAGTGTAGTGTAAACCCATGGAAAAAATGTTAGGATTAGTACTGGAACTATATTGCCAACTTTTCTGAAATCCGTTTGTTGGATAGCTTCACAATGATAATATGAATTCCAACCCAACAGCTAAATATGAGTTTAGTGTTTCAAAATTAAATCATACAAGCTTGATCGGAAATTCAAAAACCTCATGCAAGCTGTTGAATAGAAGACATGATGTTATTGCTTGATATGTCAGTAGCTGAAGAAAAAAAATCTACATGTAGTGTAAGCTGTGCTGAATGCCAGCAAAAGTTCATTGTCACTATATTCGGTCAATATTAAATATACTTTATCCCTTTAAATTTTTAAACTTTCACATTTTCTTCTGTTTATTTTTAGTTAAATAATTCTCTGGGAAGGGCAAAAGTGGGAAGATAAACTGTGTGTAAGAGTGTCTTAATAGTCAAGAAAAGCAAAAGTGCAATCAAATCCCTGAACTAGTGACAGTTTACGTTTGTGGCACCCACCCTTATTAACACACATAAAAGCCACATATAACAGTACCAAATCTGTCTCTGAAAAATGGACTAAAAGTGGCCATTTACCAGCTTCAGTCTTGCTTTCATGGTGAGCTTTGTGCAGGCAGTCTTCCCATACAAAAGCTCTTTGTAAGATCGGAGCTTAAAAGATCAAAGGATTTTCCCCCACCCCAATTTTATTATAAAGTTTCAAGTTCAAATATCATCATACTTTATCAGCATAACTTTATGAAACATTACCTCATTTTCTAGTTACCTTCATTATTCTTAATTAGCTATGCAGATAGAAAAAAAGAAAAATCTCTCATGCTACTTTCCAGTTACATTAATAACACGTATTAACACAGTGCATTATGTTCTCTAATTTCACTATTGAGGTCTACCACTTAGATCAAAGTTTGTCATACATGTTCCAATTGCTCTTTTAACCTGCCTACCCTAATTAAGT